GATGTCGGCGTGCCTGAAATTTAACCGCCAGTGTGCCTTGAAGCGGTCCCAAGCCCCCCGCTGCGGGTCACCAGTGAGAAAACGGTGAAGACGTTTGAAAACCTTTAATCTCACCTATTATAGCTTTAATTACTGCTGTGCTCCGTAGAGTAGCTTTTAAACTGTGGGGTTTCAGATATAGCCCGGCTCCAAAATTACATTATGTTTGATTTATTTTTTCCCTTAGGTCCCATCCTGCACTCATCTGGTGCGTTCTTCTGCCAAGACTTCTTGAGGAGATGTATAACTGATGGGCAATAATATACTAATAATCTGCAGCCTTCAGATTACCACGGTCCCTTCCTCCATCTGTTGTGTTTGCAAGAGCCCATCACGTGTGGTGGAAAGCCATGCTTGCCCAGGCCGGTTCCCATCTTTGCCCTCGTTCCCCCAAGCAAACGGAGAGTTTGCAAGTGAAGGGGTACGTGAGAAGCTGCTGTTTCTGCACAAAAATAGTCAGGGTGGAGATTGTCCCTCTGTTTTAAAAAATTTTAAAAGCTTATGCAGCGTGGCTCGTGAAAAGAGGCGTGAGAAGGGGAGTTGCTGCGGCGTTGGGTGGTCATGGTCTCATGGATAAAGTGACCCCGTGTCCTCCTGACCGTCCCTGCGGCCACGCGCCGGGGCACCCTGGGCCAGCGCTCGGTCCGCGCTGCCGTGGCAAAGGAGCCTTCCCCAGATATTGCTACAGAAGCAGAGCGGCCACCGTAACCCATCTTTTTAGGTAGGCCAGGTAATAAATCCGCGCGTGTGTTAATTTTGTCTAATATACTACTATTAAGGAGGGGGCATTACTGAAAAAAAACAATGTGTATTTTGCAGCGCGAACGCAGAGAAGAGGACGAGCGGTTCCCCCCTTCTTATCTTGGCTCTGATACTAACTTGGGCAAGATCTCATCATTTCTCTGCTTTTTTTTTTTTTTTTTTTTTTTGCGCTTCATCTGTCAATGGGGTGATAATACCCTTGGGTCTGCTTACTCTTCTGCGTCGTTCTGGGCTTGTAAAACGGCTGCAGCGTGAGCATGAATTACACCTGCCCTGAAGCTGCTTTACGTTATCCGCGGCTTCGGCACGGCGGCGATTTGGGGCCCAATGAAGGAGCAGCGAGGAGTGTTTGTGCAAACGCATTAGAGAGAAAAACCACAGCATTAATAATAAGTGGCGTTACTCTGTTTTATCATGTTACATCTGCAGTAGCTAATGGTCAGAAGTTCTTAAGGGGGAATTTCTTTTTACTTTTATTAGCCTTAAGACGCTTTTAAAGCCTTCGCCCCGATGGGCTGTAAGAGTAATGAATCGTACCCTTGGCGTGATGTTAGGATTCAGCGCCATGCAGCGTTTGCAGGTGTGAGGAGATGAATATTGTTCTGCCGATGAGTTTCCTTGTTAGCGTAGGCTTTTTGAAAAGGCTTCGCTGAAGTGTCTTGCCATAAAATTAGGCTTTGATCATACCCGTTTGCTGTTAATGAATCCAGATGGGTTAGCAGCAACTGGATTGTACCTCTCTGATAGTACGTGCGTTGCCTTTCATTTCCTCGCACGGACTCGCAGAAGATCCTGTGTTGCCCCAGCTAACGAATCCAGCTGTATTAACGTGGCCTCATGCATCCTAATACATGGTGCCCCTAGAGACACAGGCAGATGTGTCAGGATTGCTCTACAAAAGGTTCACATGTTACAGAAAAATAGCCCCTACGTGTCTGGTGCCGTCTTCTTTCATATGGTAATCGCCCTTTTTTTGTTTTTTTTTTTGGTTTTTTTTTAAAGTCACGCAAGGAGCTTAGTATTCCTGTTAAATCAAAAGACTTTATTCTAAAATCCAGATATTGGCAGGAGTTTAGCTGTGGCTTTAGTGTTGTAGAGAGGAGAAAAAAAATCGGAGAAACTATGTAAACACCAGCAATGTTTTCTCTTTTAACATGCAACCATTTGAATTTTAAGCTGTTTAGATTGTTTCCTCAGAGATTGAGTCACTTGGTAAAGGAGAAAGAGGGCAGATTGAGCCCAGGACTGATTCCTCTTCAGGTGTTGCATGTCCAACTCGTGGAATTCGCTGTGACCGGAGGTTGCATGGAAGGGCAGATCCTTCCCCTTGTAAGCCAGGACAGAGCAGTGAATACCGCGGGTCTGGTGAAAATCTCACCTAAAAGTCGCCAGTGAAATACCGGTGGAAAATGAAAGCTGTGATTAGCCATGCAAAGAGAATAATTTATTGTGTTTTCCAGGTTGCCACGTGAGTCAGGACGGATTTTTTTTGTTTCCTTTGCATAAATGTTAACTGTAAGGACCAGGTATAGACAGCCTCCAGGAGGAGACTGTTGGATTTGGGTTGAAGCTGCACGACAAATTCTGTATTCTCCAGGGATGCCGTCAGGGATGGTTTTGTCAGCAGCTTAGAGAGTCGCTTCTTCCTCTGATGAGAGACGATAACTGGCCAAATGGGCGCCTTTTAGCCATTTAGGTGCAAAGCGAACCGAGTTCTGCTCAATCCCCTTGCACCGATTTTAGTCTTTGTCTCAGCTGAGCAGCTGTGGGCAGCACCTGCAGGTTGAGGCACAGCAACACCTTAAAGAGCTCCAATACAATGAAGCAATGATTACGCCTTGTCTCTAGTCCACCGGATTGGATCAGTAAAATTTCCCCAAATTACAAGGCAGTTTTCAGACCGCGCTTCTCAGCCCAATGGATGTGATTCGGCCCTGAGTTTTTGCCCAAGGGAAAGGTGCCAGATTGATGTCCTGTTTTGGTGGGATTGGGTGGGATTTCGCCCATCGCTCAGGTGTGACTGAGAGGTGCTGGGTGATGCTACCAAAGAGCTTGGGCTACATCTGAAGGCTGAATACAACTAACGAGCTGTGTTCAAACCTCGTAGGCCATCCGTATTAAACCAGCAGTTGTTGCTATCGCCATTTGCTCCATGCCATCACCCTGTTCATTCACCTGTGATGACTCCCAGCTGCAGGCTCTTTAACATTGGTTGTTCTGCTCTGCATGCATCCCACCCAGAGTGGGATTGAATATTTATGAAAGTAAAGGTAATTGCAAGACTAGGAAAAGCAGTGTGAAAAAGAGCATCTGAGAGAGAGCGATGCCAAATTGCGTTTGTGTTGAAGGAAAATAATCCCAAATTGTAGCTAATAGAAATAAGAATGGTTAATTCCCGTGATTTGCTTAAGAGCAAACTTGATAAGGTACAGCTGAGGAAAAGTTTTTCATCCAAGTGCAGTAGTGAGCCAAGGACATAGCAGGCATAGCACAGTCGGTGACTAAGCCTTCCCTTAAACCCTCCTGCTGCCTCCTTGCTAAGCAATAATCTATGCTCTGAATGAGGATTGGTTTTCGAATTCTTTTTTTTTTTTTTTTATAACCGAATCAGGTTCAAGTAGGTGAGTAGAATCAATTCCTATCACTCATGGGTAAATATGGAGGAGCAGGATTATGGATCAGGGTGATGCTGCTGCACTTTAATTTGGAAATCAATGCAGAAAAGGAAGTTGGGCTTGTGGGGATATTGCAGACACTATGATTTTGGTTCTGATGAGATTTTACTCTGCAAACAGCTGAGTGACTAACTGCTCTTCCCGTCCTGATTCATACAGAGAAAGGGCTAAATTAATCCTTGATGCAGCTCTCTTGAAGTCTGTGGAGCTTCCCCTGGTATAACTGGAGCCCAGAATGTCTCAGAGCAACCACGGCTCACAAATGCTTCAGTCTCCTTCTTTGCCTTTGTGCTTAGCTCAGAAATAACCCTTTATTTTCACCTCGTCTATGATTAATTCAATTTGTATCAGCCTGGGATTTTGGTAACCTTCCTTCTGTATTGTTCACAGCAATGGAATTAAATGCACCAGGCAGTGTTAAAAATACAAACCACACCAAGTCTCACCTTGGGGTGCATCAGAGCTCCCCAGATTTGTAAGGGCTCTGTAAATCTGTGATGTTAGCAGATACAGAGTACCTCCTTCTCCTGCAGGTTGTCTGTATTTGGTCATCTGCATGGCATGGAGCAGCATTTTTTTTTAGGTTTGCAAACCTGCCCTGCTGTCCAGATGATTGCAGTATGCCGTCTCTCCTAACAGAAGGACTGTACAGCATTGCCTAAACCTCAGCTGCGAGCAAGGCTGGGATTTCCGAGGAGAAGGGTGGTTGTCCCCAGTGCGCACAATTTGTACAAACTTGAGCAGTGGGCCTGATCCCTAATCTTTAGAATACCCTAAAATCTGCAGGTCCAGAATTACTGGTCAGGCTGTCTGAAATGCTCAGGGTTCGCAACTCCTACCAGAGCTAAAGGGAACCACAGGTTCTCAGTTCCTCTAAAAATCACACTTTTTGAATGTTGAGGTTTAGTAAACGATCTCCAACTTGAATATCAGCCTGCAGAACATGAAGGACTCGGTGAGCTCTGCGAGGCTTGAGCTACTGGCTCGAAAGAGCCAAACGATTTCAAACCTGATAATCAAATTTCTAAGGCATCTCCTTCCATCTTGCACGATTTCTATTTTTTCCTCTTTCATGCTGTTTTAGAGCACTCATAGCCTGGAGTGCTCCAGGATCTGCTCAGAGCCAGGAGAATCAGCTGTCCAGTTGCATCTGTGACGCTGATTAACAGGACGTAAGGAGGCTGAATAAAATACACGCCGAACTCACTATTCATACTTGTGCTTTTTTTTTTTTGATTATCAGTGTGCACGTGTAAATTCTGAATGAGGCCAATGAGCAATTGTTTTGCTGATCATTTTTATGATGTAGTTTCTTGCCTACTGACGATTGCAATTAGAATCTGGCGTTCGTTAGCTAAAGCTCTCTAAACAGCCTTTAGGCAGTGGTGAGTTTGGGACAGTCCGCATGCTCTGCAACCTGTAGCTTGGGGTGTTCTTCAACCCTTTATCAGTCATATATTTAGTTTATCGCAGTAGTGTGAAAATAGTGTGTCGTCATTCTGTCTTGGTGTCTTTCTTTTGCAGAGTACGGTAATTGTGGAGAAGACTGTTCAAGACCTTATGAACCTGATGCATGACTTGAGCGCCTATTCAGATCAGTTCCTCAACATGGTGTGCGTGAAACTCCAGGAGTACAAGGACACCTGCACTGTTGCCTACAGGTACATGAACTAGCCGTGCTCACAAAGTGAAGCAAATCAGTCACCTCTATTTCATCACGTGCGGGGGCAGGGGGGGGGGGAGATGGGAGATGGGAGGGATTTAGAGGAGGAAGGAAGGCTTAGAAACCCATGTGTGCTGGAGATGCTGCTGTTGGACTTCTGCTATTTTAAAACGACTAGGAAGGAATTACTTCTAGGAATCATCTCTTCTGGTTGGTCAAGAAAATTTCTCTACAGATGGGAAAGAAATCTGAAATAATGGTCATTGGCATATCAACAATTCTGGCTCCCCAGTGACTTCGTACACTTCGCACTGTGGTTTGTGCTCTTTCACTGTGGATGAAGGTGGTCGTAGAGCTTAGAAACCACATGGCCTTTCTCTTAATCTGGCAAAAGTGATCTCGGCTTGGAGATGGAGAGCATAAGGTGTCATCTTTAATATAAATATCTGTATATAGCAGTAAAGCAAGTCAGATCATTCAAAGTGAGTATTCTCAAGAGATTTAGGGAAAAAAAACAGCTATATTTTAGTTAATTGTACTGAGATTTGGGCATTTGAATCTCGTGGCAATGTAGGAACTCTTAACCACAACACACTGTATAGACAGACTGGATTTTATGGGACTTTCCTAAAACCTTTCTTTCAAAGGGGTCATGAAACGTGCTCCATTCTGGGCTGTCTGTTTTCATCAGCGTTTTTGGGGGCCCTATCTCTAACTGCTTCCTGGACGATAGTGTAGCAGCTAAACGGAGCGTGGTCCCCGTGGGCACAGGGTTGCCATGCAGGGAGCTGGGGTTTGATTCCTTCGGGTGCTTCCTTTGTCAGAGGTTTCCTGGGTGACTTTCGGTAAATAACTTCTTCTCTGAACGTCTCAGTTGCCCGTCTGTTAAATGGCCCTCCCTGGAGAAAGGAGCCGTGAGCGTGTCCCCACCACAGGGATAAATACTTGGAATGAAAGACACTAGAGATGCTGCAGTAATGTGGGCTCTAATAGCTTCTGTACATAATTGCCTTTAAGAGCTAATTTAGGCTGGTGATAGTAGGGGAAGCTGAAGAAGGCCCTTGTGTTTTTTGACCAATAGCTTTAAGAAGTTATTCCCTATTGCCTGATTTCATTCAGAAGAAGCTTTGTCTGTTGAGTGGCTGCATGTGGGATCGTTGTTGTTATTAATAACAACAACAATAGCAGTGAGCACCTATATGGGGTAAACGTTGTCTGAAAGCTCCTGTAATTTGGTAGCTATGTGTGTGCTGTTGTCCAAAACGTTCGTATTTTATATGAAACTTTACTGACTGGAACCAAACAGTAGATGTAATTTCTTTGGCTTGAACTTAAAGGTCCTTCCTTCCTTCCTTTCCTGATACCATTCCTGGCTTTGGCACCTGCTGAGGAGTAATTAGGGCAGCCCTAATTTGGCAATACCCTGATTACAGCAGGAGGAAAAACAGGAAATGTTCTAGTTTTCCTGCTAGCAAATGACTGACTGAAATAGAAATCTATATCCATTTCAAATGATTCAGAGCAACATAGCAGAGACAGGAGCAATTCTGCAACCTCATCCATAAGGTAGTTGTGCCCTCTGCAGGGATCTCCTGTGCTGGCACAGCTCTGCGTGCTCTTGCCCTCCGGACCACAGTTTTCCTTTGGGGTTTTGGAAGGACAAATCCTCAACTGTCCTCGTATTGATAAAGCAAGTGGAAGGATGATGGTTTACAGCTGCCTAAAATCAGAGTAAAGCTCCGTAGAGCGCTGGCCGGGCTGAGGCAGTGATCCGAAGCTGTTGGTGCATCCACTCTCTCTTGGGCACACGCAGGGTGATAGGTACCATCATCACTTCTGGAATCCCAGCACGACCCTCGCGTGAGCTGGGCTGCTCCAATGGGCTGGAACAAACGGTGGGATGTCGAGAGAGCGACAGTTTGGGAAGCCAGAGGGACGGTTTGTGCAAGGTCCGTGCCTGGCGTTCGGTCCTTCCCTGCGTGCGGTTTCCTGAAGGAGAACATGAGCTAATGTGGATTAAAAATGTTCAAGTACAGACTCCTCAAAGCACGAGTGTTTTATTCAGAGTTCTTTACAGCACAGATAGCCCTAAGGAATTCACATCTGAGCTTTTTCGTGTTTGATTTCCATTTTGCTCTGATTTTTGTCGTGAATACAAAGAAACTAACGGGACTGGATGTGAATGGATTAGATATTTATATAAATAGTAAGTATGAGTTTTCATGTTTTAATGGATGGCGAATTTTGGAAACAAGTTTAATCTGAGCTAGGTGAGCTCTCTCCAGCAAATTAAATGTTTGTAAGAAGTGCAGTCTCAGGTTGACACACGTTATTTGCAGATGTGGATTGTGTTTTCCAAGTAGTTCCGGTGGGCCAAGGCGAAGGGGGAATTAAAATGAAAACCAAAATGGGAGATAGAGCCACAAAACCTCCTGCTGTGTCGGCAGTGCTTTTCTGAAGTCTGAGGCTGTCCATCCCACATCTAGCTGCTTTGGCAAATTTCTGTGAAACCGTCTCTACTCGTGAGTTAGGCCGGTAGAGTTAAAGCATTTTTATTAGGCTTTGGGAGGTACTAGAAGACAATATGGGGAGTCTTTGGGGCAGGGGAAAATCTAACCGGTTGAAGGTATCTGCCCTTAATATGAGTCTTTTCTTTTTAGTTTCTCACCACCACTCTTCTCAGACAAACCTTGCTGTCCTCAGCTCTGAAGCTAAACTGTTTCCATATCCTTCTACAACAATTTATCCCATGTTTAATTATGGTCACAGTAAAGTTGTGTGTTCATATTTAGCTGTCCAGCTTTAAGCTCTGTCCTGTATGTCTATCACCTTTCTGTTGTTCTTTCTTCACCCTCTCTCCCTTGAACAACCATCGTTTTGCAATCTGAAGAGCCTGAATTAAGGGACCAGTCACTAGTTACTCTCTCTAGTCTGCAAAAAGAGATGAACATCTCGAGAGAGTGATTCAGCTTTATTAAAATCTGGCTAAACTCTCTGGAGGTACCCAGTTCTCTGGTGCGGATGTAAGTGCTGTGAGGGAGGCTTGGGGTGGTTAAACTGAGCCTACATTTCTCCAAACATTGCCATAAAAAGAAATTATGGTTCTTGCTTTCCAGCTAGCAAAATACAACTAAGCCGCCTTTTATAGATAAGGAAATGAGGGGCAGATAAATTCATCCAAGGTGCCATGGGGGTGTGCAGTCACCTGGGATTTCCTGAGTCCCAGGGAAGTGCCCTTGCCACTTAGTTCAGTACTGTTATTGGCATCTTCCCCTTTCTCACATTCTCTCTTTGATCTGTGAGTTGTCTTTTTGGCTCTCAAAGCTTTTTGGGGCAGGGATCTGTCCTCCTCAGGCCATAAAGTACCTGGCCCAGGTTGAGCACCTGCTCTTAAACTCTAACCGATATGAGCAAACCTCACCAAGGAGACGTTACCTTGAAGAGAAAAAATCGTTCTTGAATACATTTGGCACACAGCCACAGAGTCCAGTTACCCCTCTGGCCCCCGGGTGTTTTTCTAACAAAAAGTCTTGGCCGTGTCCGGGGTTGGGCTCGCTGTTTGGGATGGGCAGTGGAACTGGGACTGCTACTGCTGGCAGATGTTTGATGACCAAAACTTGCTGAGTGGTGGAGGGGACAACCATCACCTGTGCAAGCATTACACCTTTTCCGTCTCTTCTCCTGGGAGCTGGGTGCCACCAGCCCCGCAGATGGCACTTTCCATGGCCTGTTGAGCTGTGAATTAATGAGTAGCTTATGGCACTGGTGGTAACAAGTTACCTTGTTACAGTGGCAGGAATGATTACAAAGGGCTTGGGAGGGGAGGGGGAAGGTGTTTGAAAGGAAGCATTGTGAGCTATGCTAAAACATGTCATCGTGTCTTGCGATAATTCACTTGAGGACCTGAATTAGACTGACATTGATAGAAAGTTACAGAGGCTGGAGACTGAATGAGGTGTCGTGCAACAACGGGTCATGAAAAGGGAGGGTGTAACTGATGGAGAAAGCTGGGTGTCTGTTGGCTCTGGTGCAGATCGGGGTATGTTCCACCCTCTTTAACGTCTTCATTAACAAGGAGGTGGTTGGAGTAAAACCAGCAACATCAGTAAAAATCAGGAGACGTCACTCTATGGAGTGCCATTCTATCTAATCAGGAGATGTCATTCTATGGGAAAGAATGGGAAAATAATTCAAAGGGACCCATTTGGTTCGAAGCAGTGTCTCAGCATTGATTAAATCCAACTCCCTATTGATATCAGAAAATTCTGCTTAGAGCCCCGGGGGCATATCGTCCGGTGCATGACCTATCATTGAGAACCAAGAAAGGAGGGAACAACGTGAGTTAGGCTCTTGGAAAACGATGACTCTGGAAAAGCAAGGACACTCTAAGCTCAGTCTGAGTTTGCAATTTGTTATAGCAGCAAAACAGCCTCCCCTTTCTCCTCCCTTGACACCCACTCCAAAAAGCAATAGGATTTTGGGGGGCAACAGATATTAAGGGTCATAAAACAGGGAGGTAGCTCTGTCCTCTACATCTCATCAGAAGACTCCCAAAGATGACATTCATTCCTAGGCTTCTGAAGGGCTGTCGTAAGTCTGTAAGTAACTGAAGAGTGTCAACAGTAAGAGCAGGAGGCTGCTGTAGGGAATTTTACCAGGAATAAGAGGAAGAAACTAAGTAAAATGTAGGCACACTATCAGGATTTTTTTTTTTTTTTGTCCAAGAGTTGTGTTTGCTCAACTGTGAAATAGACTCCCAAGGGAAGGAAACTATTACTGTAGTCATTTAAATCTGGACTGGACAAAGCACTGGCTAATACAGTCTATGGAACAGTTGTCCTGCCTCAGCAGAGAAATGGCCAAAAATCATCTAATTCTTTTTTTCTGTCTCATATGTCAAAGATTCTGGTGAAGTTTTTTTTCTTTTCTTTTTTTTTTCCTTTTTTTCTTCGTTTTCACGAGGGTGTTGGGTAGAGCCTTCCTTGTCATAAATGGAAAAGCACTGAGTTCCTAATAGCAGCAGATGCCGAGGTCTTCGGTGACTGGAAACAAAAGCCATTTTTTTTGTTTGTGGCAGATTGAACATGAAATTTAAAGATAAGTAAAATTCATATGTAAGTGTATGTGACAAATTCATTTTCACAAATAGCGTGTACTTACTGAGCAGAAGTTGTTTTCTTGGTGGTGGGTGAAAGGAATGATAGGTTGCTCAGTGCTGGTGGGAAAAGAAATAATTTGCTCTATTTCAAGAGAGATCAGTGTTGACTCGTGTCTCAATGCCATTTTCACTGTTCCTTTTTGAACCTCGTATACTCTGTGTGTTGTTACTTTTATTTCTGTTTATTGACCGCAACATACCTTTCAGGAAATTTAAAATGAGACCGGTTAATCCACATAACCGCTTATAAAGGTACAGGGTCTTTATTGTGGTCTTTCATGACCCTTCCCAAATGAATGCCATTGACTGATCTGAGATTGATTTGCCGTATGCACCATACTGGCTTGGATGCAGAAGCAGTACGGCCGCACTCTGTGCAGCCCTGGAGAGAGCTCCGCAGATTGCGCTGGCACGGACTGAATGAGCACAGATAAATCCATACTGCATTATCCAGCAACTCCAATTCTCAGTTAAAAGATCCAGCATCAAGTCTCTGTCTCTTTTTGAAGGACAGAGCGTCTGTCCTTATTGGAGAAACCAGTTCTTCTTCAACGGTAGTTACAGAAATAGATCCGTCTCGCATTTACACCTCTGCAGCCCCTTCCATTGTAGGACACAGCAAATATGGATTACTTCTAGATGCCTTGTAGCCTTGTGAGCAGTGGGTGCTGGGTGTTTAAGGGGTAAATGCACGTCTGGAGTCTTGTCTGTGTTCTCACATAGTAGAAGGTGATGTCTTGTAGAGCATGGAGATCTTGATTCTGTTGTTAATCTGCAGCTAAGCATCTCCATAGGAAGAGGACCGTCTGAGACCTTGTCTTTTTGATACTTCCTTTATCAAGTCACACAGCGCTGTTTTATATGGAGATTTCGTTATGTTTCCATTTAAATGGGCATTAAAAGAGTGAGACCCCGTGGCGCATCAGAGCGGGCAGCACCATCCTCTTAACTCTGACCGGTGTGTGCAGGTGACCTCTGCTTCCTCTTGTGCTGGAGAACCAGTCCAGTTGGTCACCATGCAAGGACTTTGTAGAAGAGCAGAGACACAGAGAGCATCTGAAAGTCTTGCCAGAGAAGGCAGTTGGGGGCAGGATTTAGAAGGAAATGCCTGTATCCTTGACTGCTACTTGCCTTTTTTAAGAGGTAGAAAGGTACTTCCCAGATCCTCGCAGTCTACTGAATAACCAAGAGGGGGAGAGCACTTTCCCCGTCAGCTCACCAGCACCCCAGTGAAATAGGTAACGTTGCCGAGGAGCGTGCTGTGTGCACTGATGGTTGTTCATGAGCAATTCTGACACAAAAAATACGCAGCTAATTGACTCCTCCAAATACAGCATCCGTTTTGTCTCCTGGAGTTGCCAGTGAGGATTTCAGATTAGTTACACTGCCAAAAATATTAAGTGGGGAAAGTCTTCATAACTGGAATGTGCTGTGGTCTTTGATTCCGTTTTACCCGTACATATGACTCAGCTGAAATCTCTGTTATTAGATGTTTTGGATGACTGGAGAGAAGATCGAGGACCCTTCATGTCCTTGCATTGCTTCAGATGTCCTCTCCAAGCAGGGACAGCTGGTGTGCATGGATTTGGTGGCTTCCACCCAGACCTTGCTGGGCAGGTTTCCAGATTGCAGTCACAATGCAATTGGCAGAGGCTGGCAGGCTCAACTGAGATTGCAGAGAGCGAATGAGCCATAGAGAAACTACCTTCTCTCTCTCCTACATACAGAATCACCTCCTCTGTTGTGATTGAGAGTGAAATGATTTCAAGGGAAGGGAGAATCTGGCCCTTTATCCCTGCAGGGACGACCTAACAAAGGTACATCAAGAGAGGTGACAAATTTATAGCGCATCCATCCACATTGCCCTGCCTCACACAGCAGCTTACGTTCTTTGTTGGATTCCTGTTTGGACCCATTGATTACTGCTCTGTGCTTTGCACATTTGTATGTGACGGATTTTATTGAATCCATAGTCATTGAATCCAAATTCGATTTTATTGAATTCCATAGTCATGGAATCACATGACGCGAACAATTTGCCTTGCACTAATGTGATTGTTGCTGATTTCCCCTAGGAGCATCGTGCAGTCAGACGAAAAGCTGGTTATCAGCGCATCTTGGGCTAAGGATGATGATATTAGCAGGCTCCTGAAATCTCTGCCCAACTGGAGCAACATGGCTCAGCCCAAGCAATTGAGACCCAAGAGAGAGGAAGAGGAAGACTTTATAAGGTAAACTGTTTTATAGTGTAAGTTGTAAAAGGGTTTTGGAGCGCATTAACAATGGTGGTAAGACCTGCTGGAAACAAAATAATTCTGGTGTTTGTGTAGTTGTTGTGTATGAGAAGGTGTTGAGACATGTGGTCTCTCCTTCAGTAATGTAATAAAGCCTGAGCCCCTGTGCCATAACGCTATGATTTTAAAGGCAGGCACCAGTTTTGCTGAACTGAAAACTTACTGTCGAAAGAATTTGTGTGTTGCCTGGATTCAGTTCTCTTGACTGTTACAAGAAATCACTGGGAAAATGTGTTGTTTCTGGGATGTTTCTGGACTGTTGCTTATCAGTGTCTGTCCCATCATGGATTGGGAGATAAACCTGCCTGAAGTTCTCTGTCCTTCAAGAGAAAGGAGAGAGTGGAGCTGCTTCTCTGATCTGGCAAGGAGCGAGGCCATGGTTCAGTACGGACGTTCCAGTGGCATTGCCAGCTTGCTACTTTCCTGCCCTTACTGCTTGTTCCTACTCGCTCTGTTGTTCAGACACGGCTTTTTGAAGAATTGTGACGTGAACGTGGTCAGGGAAGTGGGTGGGGCGGTAGGAGAAAAAAAAAGAATAATTTTTAATTCAGGCAGTTCCTTGCCCTGGTTCGTGGTGCTGCCCTGACCACACCAGTGCCCACGCAATGGAGAGAGCAACAGACTGCAACCTTATGGAAGGGCCAACTGGTTGTACTGGGCAAGAGTTCGAGATCTGGCGTTCTCACCAAAGCTGCCCTGTGTTTGAGCCGTGACCTGATGGCGTTTCGCCTCTGTCCAAGCCCAGGAGCTATGTAAAGAGAGCAAGAGGGTCACAAGTCTTGAAACATAGTGGTACTTCCAGATGGGATTCTTTCAGAGGCAGGTTATTGTATCTGAACAAGGTTGTTTCTACCTATTCCTTTAAGGAAAGCAAAAGCTTAAAACAACTTCTGAAGAGACAAATGGACAGATTGCCTTTCCCCTCACACTGTAAATTGCTTAGTTTCTGAATCATTGGCTCATCCTGAAGAAACCAGTCGTCTTTGCCACTCCAACAAGTCACAAAGCTTGTCTGTGATTCCCATCACTATTCATCACTTCCTTGATTGGCATTTGGCTATAAAACCGTAGGAGTAAGTGAAGCTGTTGAAAATTAAAGTCTAATTTGTGCAGATTGTCATTTTACGTATTCACTGAATGCAGGAATAATAACAAAAAGATGATGCAGTCTAGAGAGGGGAACAGCAGAGAGCGTAAAATACGTCTAGTCACAGAAGAGTTTGCTCATATTGCTGTGGGGAAATCAGCCTGCCAGTGTTTCAGAAATCTTCAGTGTTACTGGAAGAGGGAGAAGCAGGCAAGAGCCTGTGAGGTCTTTGTGCAGTCCTTGACTTTTCTGAGATTTGTGAATTCAGTCCTAGCCTCGATCTCTGCCTTCACGTTTCTCCTTTGCTTCTTCTGTTCAGATTTGCTGGGGGATGTGATCAGGCCTTGGCATGAGCTGGGATGTCTTACCAGCTCGTGATTTCTCAGCAGTCTGCTTGGGACTACAGAGTTTCCGTGGTATACGCTGGGCACTTCTGGCTGAACTTTGTCTGTGAGTGTGAATTCCCAGCTGGGCTACAACTGATGGCCAAGCTTGCATTGGCTTTAGCAGTGCCAAAATCTTGATCCTGATGTCCATTTTTTTTCCAACGTTACTTTGCCATCCATTAATTGAAGCGTTTCCTCCAATTGTATCAGAGATGTTAGAATGGAAAGCCGTATTAGGTCATCTACGTTGACTTCACTGAGAAAAGCTCCTTACCCTGTGCTATTTCTTGTTTTTAGCCTAGACATTGGGATAAAGATCTCTTCTTTGTTCAGTTTTTGCACAGAGCATCGTGTTTTAAGCTCCCGTTCCTCAGAGTGCTGTTTGAATGCTCCTGTAGCATTAATTTAAATGATAATAATTGGTCTGGGCCAGTTTTAGCCATTGATGGTAAGCGACATGGCTTATAAACTTCCTCAGGAATCTGTGCCGTGGTTGAATAGGTCTCTCCTGAAAGGTCCAACATAAAATTAATTGCTTGTCCAATTTTTTGTCATCTTCTTTCTATTTAAGCATGTTTTATCAGACTATCTCCTGATACAAAGTAAGACAATTTCTTTGCTGCTGTTACTTCTTTCTCTTCTTCTTGGTGTTGCTGATGAGTTGGGAGGAATGCTGCCATAGCATTCACTGCCTGAACACCACCGCAAAGCCAAAGGGAAACAGCTCCTGCAGATATACTGATTAGGGTTCCCATCGCCGTGATGAGAGAGAGTCTGGGAGAGCTTATTTCGTTCTGACTGTTTAACCATCCAAGATATTGGAAAGAATCTCATTACCTTCATATATGGATACCCACCTGTGTTCATAGACCCTGCTCACCAGCTATCGGGGACAGGACTAACCGTCCTTTCCTGAAGAGGAAGGTTTGAAGGAACAAGGGCAGTCAAGAGAAAAGTGAAGGCATCTTGGGAGGAAAGAGGAGGTCTCCTTTCTCTCTGAGGGAGCATCTGTGAGAAGAGTAGAGGAAAACTGCATTAAGTGGAACCTGCTCTACAATCTCTCCATTGGTTACTAGCCCAGAGAAGAGAGTGAGGCTTGCCGAGGAAGCCCAGTCGTTCTTGAAGAGTGGACCCTTATTCAAAGGGAAATGAAGCTTTGCATTAAAGCGAGTAGTTTTTAATGGACTCCAGAGGACAAACTCTAACTGAAGTCCTCTCAGCCACGTTCCATTTTTAGTGCGAGAGAAGGAAACTGAAACATGGGAGTGTGTTCCGCTCGGACGTAAAACAACACTGACAGCTGTGCTTGAACTACTCGGTAGCATCCCTTTATGAATGCTGCTAAATTAGACATGTCCTGAAAGTTTACCACTTGTTTTTGAACTGCGGCAGGAAGAGATAGCAGTGCACTGTTTTCCTTCTCTTCCCCTCCTCCACTTTCCTGTAACTCATTTGTTTAATTAGAGTGAAGAATCCAACTGCAGTGTCTCTCCAAAAACCTCATGCATATCTGTGTTGACAGTGACTGATTCTGTTGTCTTAACCTGCCACTATCTTTTTTGCCAATAGATGTCAAAAGGCAGGGTAAGATACTAACAGAATCTCCCCATTAATATTCTTGTGTGGTTGGCCAGACAAAGAGACCTGGTTGAGCATATTAAAGTAGCTCAAAACTTGGCAAGGGGAGAAAGGAATGAAAAGTCATGCCTCTATTCGTATAATTAGTTTTTAAAGCTCTGAAGGCTATTTGGCACTGGGGCGAGTGTGAAATATGCTGCCCTTACCACTTTATAAAGGTTAGCTTTCAGTTCATTACTGAATCGGATATGTTGGTGATAAAACCCAAGGATGTATCATTTCCAGTTTTGCCTTTGACAAGGGAAAGAAACGTTAAAGAAAAGGATCTCAGATCTGGCCGCACTTGAGTTACAGCAGAAATTTGTGGTCTTCAGTGCAGATCTGCAGCATGAGGGATGGCAAGGGCACATTGCACCCAAGAGGGACTGCTTATTAGGGGAGCTTAGAAAGGGCGTGCTGGCAATCCCCAGGGCAAAACATTTGTCTGGAAACCCCAAGTTAGTGTGAAGAATGCACTGCAGTGCAGATTTGTTCTGATTCCAGATCTCAACTACCTGCTTCTGTTAGGAGCAGGATAGAGTGATTTCATTTCTCCTCTCCTCTTGACACCAGCAAGCTCCTGAACACCTAACTTTATATCAGATTCTCAGGCTAAAGTTCATGGAGCCATCTAAGAAAATTCTCAGCGTCTCCATATATCAAATGACTTTTCCTTTCCCTGCTTCTGTGTGTGTTGTTTTTTTTGTTTTTTTTTAATGAGAATAACCCTGACCACAGAAGGCACTGGTTGCCTGCTGCTTCCTTCACTGCCTCTGCGCCTCCAGTTTTCCGGCTGATGCCCATCCTCGCTAGCTCTGCATCAAAAGAAGGGGCCATACGCTAGCAACGAGGAAGGACACCTGTGCAACAGCAGATCCTTCACCAAATCATCCCCGACCTTTCTTTTGATCATTTGAAATATCATTTTTCAGGACGGTTACACTGTCCTGACTCCTTACTAGGGATCTCTCATCTTCCCTTCACATAGTTGATGCTGATCCCCTGACAGTACTTCCGAAGCAAAACTAGAGCTTGCATGCAGTGAAAACGTTTCACTGTGGGACAAGACAAAAACATCAGGCTGAAGGAAGAGAGCAGGGAAGGACTAAAGGGAGTCGCTCCAGGATGCACGGAGGGAGCAAGAAATAGACCTTCCAATTCCTGGGCCCAATCCTGAGCACGTGCAAGTGTCTGCTGCATGTCACGTTGCACTGCCAAGTTCCCATAGTAAATGTCTGCTAGCAAGCAGGACACTAAGAGGCCTTTTCTGGCCGTGCAGGCCTTGTCATTGGTTGTAGTTTGAGTCACTGACAGCCAAATGCTAGCGTTTCTAGCATAATGCTAGGTGAGTTTTTCAGTGAGTGATTCTGACCAAGGGAACAGGGAGTCCTGCAGGCTGAGTCGTCCCCGCACTGGAGAGACAACTGTGCGGAGACCAAGAGCCGTGACTTGGCTCTGTGGAGCGCACCCAAAATGAAGAGTTAAAGTAGTTTTAAATATATATATATATATATATATATATCAAGACTGTATCCTGGGAACCACTAACTCTCCTCAACTGCCTTGTGGCACGCAGTAGATCTCCGCTGTGCTCTGGGAGAGGGCCTGGTCCGTCGGGACCCCACAGGCTTGCCAGCCACGACCACTGCCGCGCTTGGCAGCGACGTGGTTGCATCAGTAAGGTCTCTTCTGAAAGTGCCAACAGCAAAGACGCTGGGGTGTCCCCCCAGACTGCCCTCGGTGGCATTCCAGCTCGGCATGCCGGCAACAAGGATGTTGAGCTGCCCTGCCCACTACTCTTTGTGTGTGAATACGTCCCGATCCACTCAGAGCTCTAAAATGCTCCT